ACCTTCCGGTTTCCGGATCCACAGGAGAACCGACTAATCCGAAATCAAACCGGGTAGGACCACAAGGACGACAGAGCTCTCAAAAGAGTTTTGAATATTTGGCTTCCTCAATTTACATGAATTTATATTGTTAATAACAATTTCGAATTAGTGTGCCAATAAGATTACCAGCAATGTACATGGATTTATATTGCTTGCATCTCCCTTAATAACTACTCTAGTTCTAAAATTTGCAAATGCCACATGCATGCGCCAGCAACAAATCTGAGAACTTGAGTAACAGACATATAGGATGGGTTGGGTTGGGTTTAATCGACCCTTCGAATTTTAGTATTACACGACAATACTAGTTAAGATCTTGAGATAATTTTGTCCAAAATGTTTTCTACCCTTCATAGTTCATCGAATACCCATTCTGCCTTTGGTTGTTCGAGTTGCTTTTCAGGAGTCCTGCGAATTTTGTTCAACAACCATTTGTTACCTTAGCCACGTGCTTACGTCAATAAAAATGCTTCAGTCGCCGGCAGAAGATGCTAGCTGCCCTTGCAAAGCTCTGGCTGAAACATAAGGAGTCGGAGGGAAAGAAGCTTGGTTTTGGGCTCAATAGAAAAAACGAGACGTAAGGAAAATAAACACACACCACTCTAAAGGGTGTGTGAATCAAGCAAAACACAATCTGTTAGAGAATTATGCGCATCCAACCTAGCTCCCAATGCAATCTCTCGTCCGCATTACCATTAATCCCGACATCATCTCCCAAACAAAGAACGAATATCATCCAGACAATGAATCTCATGTTTGTTTATAAGATTTTTCAAAAAAATTCTACCATTTTAAAACATTTTTTTAACTCAACTTTAACTCAACCACACTATCATCAATATTATCGATATACTTAAAAAATATCAATCAATCATTCATACACACCACATCAATCTTAATTCACTATTCAACCACTCACATTATTTTAACTAACCATCACTTCAAATCATCTATCTCTTTCTTTTACATCTAACGAATTTTAATTATTTTATTTTAAATATTATTTTAATATACTCACTAACAACTAACAATACCACCTTTTCAAAATTAGGGAACCAAACCCAAAAATTTTCATAAACAAACATGCTCATATAGACTTTCCAATTGACAGATGAGTCATGCTCTCAATCGGCCTAGGCTTGTTTGTGAGGCCCTTATCATATAACATGTGCAGTCTCAAATGGAGACCAACACGCCAAAAGCCATGGAACTCAAATGTACTCTATGTGGATAGTTTTAATCGTGCTTCGAACCCGTCCAGGATTGCCTAGGAGCACCTCAGGAATGGAGCCTGTCCCCGTTTCAGCTCATTTATCTCGAGAAGGCCCATTAACTTGCAATTACCACATCTCTCCTCAGTCCTCACCTTCTTCCCGAAAGAATCATCACAAACGAGCCTCATCACAAAGCAGCCGGCTGTTTTGACGAGCCAAGATGGCTTGGCAGCTCTCTGAAAGACTTTTCCCTCCTTTTTCTTCCCTTTTTTTTTTGTTTTTTTGTTTTTTGTAATATGTATTTCATAAGTTTATTTAGCCAAAATAAATTTGCAAACAGTGATGATAATTCAAGTACAGATCGAAAGATATCACTCATTCATCTCAATGCATTGCTAGAAACAAAACCCACCTACCATCTGCTATTCACACTGCTCATACCAACAAAACTAGCAAGATCACATTTTAAACTTCATTCAAACATGTCAAAAATCAAAATATTGATATAACATCGCTAGTCACATTGTTCAACAGTCATCAAATTTATTTTGTTCTTGAATTATATAATATTGACATTACTTTAAAGAAAAAAAAAACACTATTTTAAAAAAAAAAAATCCTATCCTACCAACATTAACAAGGAATGAGCATGATACTTACTTAATACCCCTCCAACTGCACAAGGGTGTTTTTGTGAGGCAAACCTGGACCAAGAATTGAATAACGTTCCCCAGCCAACCCTTTCCATAAGGAGGTGATCCATCCGATTTCTCCAGTAGCAATAACCACGTAAAAAGCAACGCTAGGCCCTTTCATGGAACATCCATAAAACACCAACACCTCCATCTGCTGCAACCAACCGACCGGCTCAATAAACAAATCTTTAATTTTATTTCGATTTCCCAATGCAATTTTACGTTCCCATTCCCTCCAATAATTATAATTGTCCCCAAACACCATCTCCCAAACTCGAAACACGCAGTACTTAACTTCAACCACTAGAGTGAGAGACTTCCCCGTTGACAGGTACCACCAATTGATGACCCTGCGAGGATACTCGGGGAATACTGGGGCCCGCGTCTTGGTCATAACCTCTGTCTCTACATTCAGAGTCATGACAGTCTTCCCAAAAATCAAATGAATAAAACCCTCTGTCACCAATGGGCTACTGAGGCTAGAGTCCGGCAAATATTGACAATGGTGGGTTGAAAGATGCCTCCACAAACTATCGACACCCAGGGTCAATATGGCCCGTGTCTTTCCCCTATCAGTATCATTGTATTCCAAGACCACCTTGTATGCTTGTGAAGCCTTCGTGTACCCCAAGCAACAACACATTGACTTTGCATTTTTCGGGAGCGGAGGGAGTTGCAAGACTTTTCCCGTCACAAGGTTGGCCAAGTGGACGCCGGACAAGGGTTCCCACCAATTGTACTGAGGGATGAGGCCGTTGCAGCTAGTCAGCCTGATAAATCTGGATTTGTCAGCAAAGTTGTAGTGGGATACCGTGACACGCCCCTGTTTCATAGACACGAAAATCGCGTGATAGGGAGAAAAATAAACACGTGTTGGGGCATATTGGAAGAAGAGGCCGTATTCGTCAGTTTGCTGCTGGAGGTGGAGGTTTACGAAATCCTCGGATCGGATCGTGAGGTAGTACAACCTCCGACAGACGAGACTTGCCCTGTAAATGTCTTGAGCACAGAGGTTCAGCAGGATCTTGAAGAGCAGATCATCGGGAAGGGATATTAGGAGATTGTTTTGTGCACAAACGCCCTCTGCAATGCCTTGTGCTTCAACTTCGGCCGGCGGCTGGCCGGAGACTGAAAGATATATTTTATTTTGGCATTAGTTCGAAGGTTCGAACAAGCACCTGGAACTACAGAAACAGGGAAGATCTTTGCTTATTTGTTTCCTTAATTACATTTATTTTAT